ACCAAAGCATTGAAGGCAACAGGCCCTATGCCTTTGACAAGATGGTACACTTTGCCTCGGTCATGGTGGCGTTGACTCGTTGACAGAGAGAGAGAACATATTCGATATACGAGGAATAAGACTCGCCTAGTTGTTGTTTGCAACCATCAAGGGTTCTCTTCGTCAGGCTGGCTCAAACTGCCGGAGTAGCGAAGACTTGTCGCAGATGTCCTTTGGAGACGTTCCAGTTGGGAAAGTTGATCTGGTGATTAAAAAACCAAGTCTTCGCCACACTGGTAAGATAGAAGGAGACGTGGCAGAGCTTGTGCGGATCCTCCAAACGGTTCTCTCCACTCACTATCTCATATTGGTGTAGCCAGTCGTGCACGCCCTCATTTCGGAGTCCAGCAAACAGAGGGGGCTCGCGTGGGGGTTCACTGACGATCCAAGAGTGAGTATCTGCGGCAGTCATAGCTGGAGGGGTAAAGGGAGAAGCGCCTGAGGGTTCGTCTTGCGGCACGCTGGTGTATACATAGCCCAAACGGCGACCTGAGCGAAGCTCCAGGAGGTAAAGCGGGCGAGCAGGGACGGGAAATCAAGCAGCCATTTCCACCGCTTTCGACGTAGTCCTTTACAGGCCTTTATTACGCCTGGAAGGTGTGGCCAAAAACAGTCACTTCCAAAGCACGTAACAGACTTAAGGGCTATATCCACTAACGATGAACATGAGAAACACTATGTGATGATGGTTATGTACAGGTAATGAAGAAGCATGTTGTAAATGCCCGCAATATGTATAGAATAGTGTCTAGCGGTTGTGACAATCAAGATATTTTTTATTTGTTTCAATGAGGCTGTGCTAAAGGTATGAAAGTCTAACGATGATCTGTTTTCCAATGACACCTTCTGGTGAAGCATGCATCTCACACTAGGCAGCTCTTCGCGTTCTTCAAAAAAGCAAAAGATTTCACTTTCTGGAAACTTGCAGGGTCCGCAACCCCTTTGCTTTTAAGATGACTTGAAGGTGAAAGCCATCTTTTTCTTTTCAGTCGATGTATATTGGGCTTCCCATGCCTGCTTCCAAAAGCTGCCTACAAGAAGCTCGCAAAGAAGGAAGCTGCCTGCTGGCACTTAATCCAGACCAGAAGTTATCCAAACTTGCATTTTCTCAATAACGTGCACCCAACAGAATACTTTTTGCACTGCTCATGGTGCTCTGAAAAACCTGCACTAATACACACATGGACCGGCCGGGCCATTCCCAGCCTGCCTGTCATTGACCAAGCGAGTGTGGAATGGTGGGAGGAGTTGCTGGCCAGCGATAGTCTTAACAATCACTTTAATCCACACGGTATGCAAGGCGGCAACTACCTGTGGCGTCCTGAACTGAGGACAGCCAGCACTGCTAGATGGGCTTGTGAAGCCACCTGGCCCATACTACAAACCCCTTTCTGTCGATAAATGATTTCCTACCGTCCAGTTTTGTACTGCTTCCAGTATCAGTAGCACTGCTAGCTTTCCGCCCCACACCTGTTTTGCACCGTCAGCATCAGCTATGTGACCTCATGATGACGTCGAAAATTCTAGCCACCTGTGATGTTACGATGACGTCATATTTTGCTGTCATCACTTGACTTTATCGTTGACAACACTGATGCAGGACAGCAATGCCACTGACGGTCTATTTTCGCATTTGATGAGGCACAAGATGCATTCGTAAGAAATGGCTATTGTTTGTAAGCTTCAGTTCACGTAGTTTCGTCTTCTGTGCTCTTAGTATTGTTCCCTTTAGACGGCTGTATAGCGATGACCATGTTACGAATTAAAGACAATCCATCATAGTGGGGTGCAAATAAAGTCCTAGATGCATAACCCGCCTCCTTTTTTTTTTAGGCACAGTAGCAGTACTAGTCACTACACTGCAAGAAATGACTGAGGCAAAATTATACATATTTGCAGCAAATTCTGTTAGTGCTGAGAACTACACTAACTTGAAAAAAGTGCCGGTCTGCTTGGTGGGCAATTAATGCTACAAATCTGGAGCAGCAGATTAAAGCCATCTTTGTTCATGTCCTAGTCAACTTTTTCTGTTTCCCAATTCTCATATGACAGCGTTATTTTTTTTTATGGCTCGATTTGAAACCACTTACATTTACAAAATGTGTTATTGACCTGTTCGTAGCTGAAAAAAATTTAGGCAAATCAAAGCAAAAATACTTCTCGCTTTCTTTATTTGATAGTCATCCCTATTTTTTGGGTGATTATGGAAAGGATAACATTTCAGGAATACATGATAAACAATATTTCTACATAAAGCATAACATTCCACATACCACAAATTCACAGGCACAATGGGTAAGTAAGAATAGATAAACATTGATATGTGGGGTTTAACATCCCAAATCCACTATATCATTACGAGAGATGCCGTAGTGGAGGGCTTTCGAAATTTCGACCACCTGGGGTTCTTTAACATGCACCCAAATCTGAGCACACGGGCCTACAGCTTTTACGCCTCCATCGAAAATGCAGCCACCGCAGCCAGGATTCGATCCCGCGACCTGCGGATCAGCAGCCGAATACCTTAGCTACTAGACCACCGCGTTAGAGCACAGAAAAAGAAAGAACAGGTAAGAACCATTAAAAAATTAAAAGTCAACAAAATACCCGCGCCATATCAGTAAGAACATGCGAACATCCAAGGTTTGACTTGAAGATGAATTCTAATAATCAAAACGTGTGAAATGAATATTTTTTTAAATATTTTCAAATGCAAGTACCGTCGAATCTCATTATTTCGAACACACCTAATTCGAACTTCCGGTTATTTCGAACTCACGATGAGGTCCCGTCGAAGCTATGTGTATTCTAATGGGGTAAAATGCCCGGTAATTTGAATGCCCAAGCACTTCCGACGGTTAATTCGAAGATACCGCGCTCCGAAAATGCTCTCAGCCTCCCGTCCAATCCTGCGGCGGCACCTGCGACACCTCAACACTGCGGGCGAAGGAGATGAAAAAGAAAGAAAAGGCTTTGGTGGAATGTCTGCTCTCTCTCAAATGCCGATCTGCAACGTGTTCATGTCACGCTTCCCGCTTTCTTGTCCCTGCCACGTAACCCTTCTCCTTTCAACGACGCACAAAAAAAACAAAAATGCGCACAAAAAAAGCAAAAAAAGAAAAGCTGCTGTAGAGAGTTGGCTTTTCTCTCAAATGCCAATCTGCTTCTCTCCGCGTGAAGACGCTTCTCCTTTCTTGTCACATGCTGGCCATGCTGCGGCTGCGTAGCGGGAAGGCTCCGCTGCGCAGTTGTTGTTGTCGTCATCTTTAGAAAGTGTCGACGCTGGACATATCCGCACGCAACTTCTTTTGCCAGGAGAATGCTGAAGCCAAAGTAGAAATGCTTTGCAAGCTGCGTGCGAAATTAATTGACTCGCTGCAAGGCAAACGTGTGCAGACGCGCATCACCGATTATACTTCAATTATTAATGAATGTCCTGTGATTTGCGAATAAATGTAAGTCTTCTGAAACTTCCCTTTCATGGTTTGGCTCAATGCACATGCACCACTGCATGGAGAGCCCTTCATTTATTTAGCTTTCATTAATTCGAACTTCTTTTATTTCGAACAAATTTTCGGGCCTCTTCAACTTCGAATTATCGAGATTCGACTGTATTACCGCTGTTCAGTTTTGCGAGAAATTTATTTTTTCACCAATGAGGCATCAAGCAGTAAACTTGTTGCACAGCAAATACTCTACTGGTAATTTATATATCGTGCATGATTACTTTACAGTCCCACATGTGCAGTTATTTACTGTTGTCGCTCAGGATGGATAGCTGCTCAGTATGTTCAAGGAGCAGTGACATCATGGTGCCTGTGGCAATACATTCAATCATTATGACGAACTTGGATATAACGAAGTATCGGCTATAACAAAGTAAATGAAAAATAGTGTTGCAATATAGTGTTAGGAATATGCCTTTAAAACGAACTTTCAGATATAACAAACTTATTATCGTGCAAGATGCAACTTTGTTATAATGAGGTTCGAGTGTAATTCTAGAAAACAAAATCAGCCACTAACTAGACACACTACTGTTTATCTAGCCATAGTTGAGTCCTTTTTCAATTGAAAGAAATGGCGAAAACTGATCAGCGCAACGCTCAGAACAGATGCTTTTTAGGATAACCTAGAATAATGCTGGGCTTTCTTATTTCTAGACGTCCTTTCCTAATTTAGCAGCGGCTTCCCATTTATTTCAGAGGACTTGATTAGTATAAAAATTTCACTCTGTCAAAAGAACATTCTCGGCCTAATTCACAATGGCATGCTATTATACTACACTTCGATAGCGGCACCTTAGCAAAAGCACTTTGGAATGCCAGGGTAGGGGTGGGGAGCATGTGGTAGCTAAGTCTAAATAATGTATTTTTCATCGAATTTAGACATATGTACTTCACTGAGCTGATTTCAATGCTTGTTGTAAACTTTTGTGATGCTCGAATATATATTGAATAGTAAAAGTGTTTCACAACTTGAATATTAAACCATTTCAATCGAACGTTCAGTCCTAAAGATTCACATATCCTTAATATATAGACAAAAAGATGACTTTCTCTATAAAAAAAAAAGTGCTTCAATCTCTAACTGGCCATTTGCGAAAGTTGGTGTCGATTCCGGGGTTTCGCATATCCCACCCCACAAAAAACATAAAAAAATATAATACAGGATTTGCTTATCAGCCAAGGAACTTGCAATTAACCTGCACCACCTCTGATTTTTCTAATATGCTTGCATTTCAGCCCTGTCAGAATGTGGAAACAACTGCTGAAATCTGATCCTGCAACCTCACTTTTGGCATAAGCACAAAACTATAGCTACATAGCCAGCCCGGTGGTTCCGACCAATTCCGAGAAAGTGCGATCACTGAACCAGTGGTTTTAGAAGAGACTGTGGGAAAGTATTTCAGCCTAACTCCCCTTCAGATCAGAGGAGTTTGTTCACACTGTCCTGCATACCTTATGGTCCAAAACAGCCGGGTGAGCTGGGTGCGGGAAAACTGGGTACGACACACTGGCTGTCCACACAGCTGGATGTAAGGCACATCAGCCGGTATGTGGCATCCCACTGCTTGCGGACGCACACCGGCAGCGCAGTCGAACAAGATGCCTACATCTGCATCGGTCAGCTCTGCAGGACACAAAGACCGTCGTCACAGTAGGAAACATACAAATGAGGCAAATTCAAAGAGGTTTAAAGGAGTCGAAGCTGCTGATTCGCTACCCTAAACTAGACAAAGGGGAAAGAAAGAAGAGCAGAGACTAAAGTAAGCAAAAAAGGAAGAGGAACGCAAGTATCATAGCATCTGCAACAGGACTGCCACATAAAGGAACACAGGAAACTTGCACAAGGTCTCACAGTGCTTGGCACAGCAATGCACGGGCCCGTTGCCACTCACTGTGCAACTCATTTCTATACAGGGTTTTTTTTTTTTTAAGCAATACATATTTTTCCTTAATAAAACTATAATAGGTAGGCACTTGTCGTCTTTGCAGCCAATTTCCAGGCCGAGGCAGAAAAATTTTGCCAATAATTAGATCACTTCGGAATCATTAATGGATAAAAATAATCAAACTAACTTTTCAAATATTATTTTAGGGTGGTTGTTTATATGGCAATGTTGTACGAAATCACAAAGTATGGCAAGCCTAGTTTTTAAAATTGAAAATATCACGCGTGGTTTCAGAGATCTTACGTCGCATTTCCAGACCGCCATGTTGAACAAACTGATACTATTGCGTTGAGTGTGGCAAAACCAGCCAAGTGCGTCAAAACTAACACACTCGGTGCGTTCGTTTTGGTTTCTTCGGCACTGCGGTCTGGAAATTTGACGATGAATCTCTGAAACCAAGCGTGATATTTTCAATTTTAAAAACTAGGCTCGCCATACTTTGTGATATAGAACAACTTTGCTATATAAACAACCACCCTAAAATTAACAATTGAAAGTTAGTTCGATTATTTTTGTCTCTTGATGATTCCTAAGTGATCTAATTAATGGCAAAATGTTTCTGCCTCCGCCTAGAAATTGACTGCGGAGACGACAAGTGCCCACTTATTATAGTTTTAAATGCAAAGCATTTCTTAGCGAACTTTGGCGACTTTGAGTGTATCTATCTATCTATCAACCTATCAAGCCGCCCACGACTTTTAGCTCTCCTGGCAGTTTCGATAATAGTATCGATACCAAACTTGGTATGGCACAACATGACTGCATAAAGATTATATTTGACTAGTATGAGGAAGAGCTTTATTCGAGACGAGCTCGAGCTGGCACACACTGATGATGATATCTACATATGGGGAAGTTATAAAAATGATGATGACACGTCCAATTGATAAAGAAGAGTCGGTGACTGCGCTCACACTAATTCCTCGTCACGCTGGAACCAGATGCTGGTTCCAGTGTGACGAGGAATGCGTTGGGTATACAGTTTCAGTCGAGAAACGTGCACAATTTCTGTCCCACGGCAGCGGTGGTCGGAGGGAGCGTTAAGTGGTGAGATACGGTAATTAATGGGGGTTGTTTGTTTAATCAGCGTATCCAGTTTTATAAAACGAGTGAGGAATTTTTCACATAAGCTGGGCACACGCACGGGAGTCCACAGAAGAACTTCGTCTCCTTGTGAAAAGGTGACAGCACGGTGAGTTGAGTTGTCGCGATACTTGCAAGCTTCCTGAAAGATGCCGTTGTCGATTCGGGCCAGGTGACGGCAGTGCTAGAGGCGAGACAAAAATTGTGCGGATAAAGGGCCTGCTGAGGTAGCAAGAGCCGAAAGGAAGGAAACCTCCAGAGTTACACATGGAGAGCGGCCATGCACCAGAAAATAGGAAGAAAAGCCGGTGTTGCGTTGTGTAGCCGTATTGTAGGTGAACGTTACGAATGGCAAAATGGCGTCCCAGTTCATGTGGTCAGGGTTAACATACATGGCAATCATGTTCGAGAAGGTACGATGAAAGCGTTCTGTCAAGCCATTTGTTCGTGGATGATGAGTAGAAGTTGTCTTGTGGATGGTGTTGGCAGCGCTTAGAACCTCAGCACTCAGCAACAATAGAGGAAAGAAAGACCTTGCTGCGGTCGCTGAGCAGAACACATGGAGCTCCATGGCGTAAAAATATGTTACGCAGAAAAAAATCGGCTACTTCAGTGGCTGTACCAGCGTGCAGTGAGGCTGTTTCCACATAACGAGTGAGGTGGTCAACAGCCGTTACAATCCAACGATTTTCATTGGAGGTCACGGGAAGGGGGCCGTACAAGTCTATCCCGACGACTTCGAATGGCAAAGTGGGACAAGGAAGAGGTTGGAGAAAGCCAGAAGGAGAAGTAGTGGGTCGTTTACGCCGTTGACATAAGGCACATGAAGAAACATATTTGGCAATGGCGGATGAGAGGCCAGGCCAGGTGAACCGACTGCGTATATTGTCGTACGTTTTGTGATAGCCGAGATGCCCAGCAGCAGGATCGTCGTGGAATGTCTCAAGAACCTGACGTTGTAGACAACGTGGTATAACGGGAACCCATTTGTTTCCTTCAACGTGGTAAATATAGTAATGTAAAACACCATCGTGAAGCTTGAATTGTTTCAGTTTTCGGCGAAGTCGGGCATTTGGAGGAGTGGATGTGCCTTCTAAGCGTGCTATTATGGAGCGGCAGTAAGGGTCAACGCGTTGATGCAACACAAGGGTAGAAGGGCGGCCGGATCTTAGCCAACTGAGACCTGCAACGGGTAATGCTACGGTGGAAATTGATCACGGTGGGCTATTACGGTTGGGTAGAGGGCAGCGAGAGAGAGCATCAGTATCTTGGTGCTTCTTACCAAACCTGTAGACGACATCAAAGTTGTGCTCTTGTAAATGAAGCACCCAGTGGCCAAGACGGCCCGATAAGTTCTTTAGCGATGAAAGCCAGCGCAATGCGTTGTGGTCGGTGACGACTGTCAAATGGCAGTCGTGGAGGTTTGGACGAAATTTTGTACCGCCCATACAACAGCAAGGCACTCTTGTTTGGTTATTGTGTAATTTTTCTCGGCAGCATTCAAAGCACGACTGGCGTAAGCGATGACACAATCGCATGCGGTGTTGTCATGCTGCAGTAGAACGGCACTGAGACCATGACCGCTGGCGTCAGTGTGAAGAATGGTGGGTGCACCAAGTGACATAGTACCAGGTCGGATGTCAGGGCTTGCTTCAACGCCAGGAAAGCCTTTTCACAGTCTTCGGACCAGACGAATGTCGTGTTACTTGCGAGCAGTTGATGGAGCGGAGAGGCAAGCTTTGCGAAATTGCATATGAAGCGCCGAAAGTAGGATGCCAAGCCGACAAAACTGCGCAGGTCTTTTTGACGCAGTGGACGGGGAAACTCGAGGATGGCGGCAAGCTTTTCAGGATCTGGTCGAATACCGTCTTTGTTGACTAAGTGCCCTAGAACATTGATCGTCTTGCTTGCGAAAGTGCATTTTTTCGTATTCAGCTGTAAACCAGCTTTTGCAAGGCAACCTAAAACTTCTTCGAGACGTTGCAGATGCTGCGAAAAGCTAGACAAAAACACGATGATGTTGTCGAGATAGCATAAGCAGGTTTTCCACTTCAAGCCACGCAGTACGCTATCGATCATACGTTCGAAGGTAGCAGGCGCGTTGCAAAGTCCGAAAGGCATTACGTTAAATTCATATAGCCCATCTGGGGTGGTGAAAACCGTCTTCTCTTTGTCAGATTTGGACACTATTATTTGCCAGTAGCCCAATCGCAGGTCAAGGCAGGAAAAATACTTTGTGACATGCAACGAACCTAGTGCGTCATCGATTCGTGGGAGAGGGTAAACATCTTTGCTCAGTGCCCAAAAAATCAGCGCAAAAACGTACTGTTCCGTCTTTTGCACCAAAACAACTGGCGAAGACCATAGACTCGAGGAAGGACGTATGATATTCCGTCGAAGCATGTCTGAGACGTTTTTCTCGATTATCTTCCTTTCTGCAAGAGACACGCGGTATGGGCGTCGGTGAATTATTCGGGAGCCGTCAGTCTGAATTCGGTGAGTTGCAGAAGTTGTCATACCAAGGACAGCAGAATGAACGTCAAACAAAGAGAGATGTTTGTTCAAAAAATTCAGCAACTTTTGACTCTGGGATGCTGTCAGATCAGGGCTTATCGTCACCGATAGAGGAGTGGGAGAGTTGAGTGGCGGCGTGCTTGGCTCTGGTAGGTCTTCTTGACTTGGAAGGGCAACAATTGCAACGGGATGCGGGTCAATAGCGCATGTGACTGTTGATCCACAGGGCAACAATAAGGGTTCGGGGGTCTGATTTAATGCAGTAATAAAAGCAGACCCTTCAGAAAAACAAACAAGGCCTGGAATGATCAGAATGCCTCAATGTACCGTGTGGCCATAAGGTAGTAGAAGCTCATTGCCATCCACAATGTTGATGCAATCAAGGCTAATTACTTCTCGGGATGGCCAAAAAGCATAATCTGAAGTGGTGACGAGACGAATGCACTCTTCAGCTTCCGATACAGAAGAGTCAGTGGGATTGAGGCGGATGAGGCGCTGACGACAAGATATGGGAGCGCGTGCAGACGACAGAAATTCCCACCTCAAAATGAGTTCGTGGGTGCACTCACGGAGAACTGTAACCGCAACATAATGACGAATACTGTCTATGGAAACACAAACTGTACACAGGGCAAGTGGGCGACAAATGGCATTCGTCGCAGCACGGAGAGACGGGCCCAAGTAAGGTGAGGTTACTTTGCGGAGACGAGAGCCAAGGTCAGAGCGAATAATGAAAATAGCAGCGCCAGTATCTACTAGAGCTTCGACGTGTATACCTTCTACTAACACTGTTAACAAGTTCGATGGTCTGTCTGGAGGAATTGCTGGCTGTCCGGTGGATGCAGTTTCCCCTCCTAAAACTGCACTGGGGAGTTTTCCGAGTGGACATTCAGAACATTGGAGGCGGGTCGCAGAGGCAACACGGAATGGTTATTGGGAGATGTTGACCGGCGGCGAGACTCACGGGAGTTCACAGGCAGACCAATACCGTAATGTGGAGAGGGCGAACGCTGAAAAAAAGACCTGTAAGGCGTGCGCTGGTAGCTCGTGAGTGGACTGAAGCGTCCGTGTTCCTCTGGAG